GAGGCAAACGACTACTGCCACTGCCCGCCCCGAGCTGCATACGAGAGACAGTGGGGCTCCAACGAGGTCCAGCCGCAGAGGGTTCCCCGCGACGTCCCGAGCCCCAAGTGGGTCCCACGCACGACAGGCCATGGGAGCGCGACCGCCGCCAGTTCGCAAGCGCAATACGCCGGGCCGGGCGTGGCAGCTGCTGCTGGGCTTGCTAAGAGTAAGCCGCATAGCAGGTTCTAGTTTCAAAACCCAAAGCAAAGCATATCCGCGCTGGGCCCACGTCACTAGGCGCTCTCCTAAAGCAGCCCTCTCTGGGACTCGGACTCTTAGCCCTTAGGCTTGGCGCCTGCCTGGCCCGGCCTCAGGCGCAGCGCGGGGCCGCGGGTTACTGCAGCGCAATCTGATTGCCCTGCTCGGTGGGCCGCGCCTCCAGGCGCCTCCAGCGCCTCCAGGCGCCTCCAGCCATCGCGACCTTCCGCAATGACACCACCGCTTCGGCGAGGAGCGGCGCGGCCCGACCAAGCTCCAAGCTCAAGCTCCTCACTCCGGAGGTTTGCTCAGACCGACTATACCGCTGCACGGTAGACTTCGCCGCCCAGACGGCTCGGAATCACGAAGGGGCGAGGAAAGGAGGGAGCTGGGGCAGGGGCGAGGGAGAGGGGGGGCGGCGGGTGAGACGTCGCGGTCTGCAAACCGCAGTGCGCCGGGCCGAGCAGAGCGAGAGCAGCCCGAGCTTCGACCCCAGCGCGGCTCCAGCACGGCCGCCCGCGGCCCCAGCACCGCCGACTCGTTCAAAGTCAATTAAAAGTGATGGTCACCCAACGCCCCGGGGGAAGCGGTACAGCAAAAGCAGCCCCGGGTGCAGAGTAAACCCGGGGTGCCCAGCAAACCTAAGGGGCCCAAAACAAAGAATCAGAGCGACTCAATTTCACCATTTAACTGGATGCCTTTTGGTTCGTATCGCACTACACTAATCATACCACCACCCACGGATGGATGAGCCATAGCCATACACATGGAATCAAGAAAGTGTCCAGTAAGTTGGCGCCTTAAGTCGCCCAGCTGCGGGCCAACTCAGGTTTACAGTATGCGTGCGGGGGAGGCGGTGATCCGTCTCCGCGGCTCGCTATCACGCGGGTCGGGTGGTGGCGGGCAGGACGCAGAAGGCCGCGTCGGATTGAGCACAGCCAGGCCGATCCGGAACACCGGTGGGAGCTGGTCTGGTGGTGACGGCCTGCTATCGGCCAGGCACCTGGGCGGCGCCCGGCCAGCGTCCGCCACTCTCGCTCTCCGTGCGCGCCGAGTACGTCTCGCCCAGGAGTCACTCGGCCGCCGTTGGAACCCCCAAGGCGTTCCCCCCCAAGGCGTGCCCCGAGGCACCGGCGACGCGTCCGTCCGGCCAAACCGGCTCGCGAGCGTCGCGGAGCGCCACGCCATGCGCGCGCGAGAATTTTAAAGGGATCTCTTTTTCCCTCGAAGGCACTCGCCGCGAGGGAAGGTCATGACGACACTCGGCGCGACAACTAACACGCGCGCACGCCAGCCGTGAGAACGTGCCCCTCCCGAGCCGCGGTCCCGCGCCGGGCGCAGACGAAACACATACAAACATTGACCAAAAAAAATATGCCCGTTTGTTTGCAATCGCCACGCGTCATGTCACTGCCGAGATAAGTCGGCCCGTGTGAATCCGAGCAGACGTGTCGCTCGCCACGCCTTCTCCGCTCTTTCGCAACATTATGCATGTACCCCGGCGCTGCACGGCGCTGCACGGCGCTGCACGGCGCTGCACGGCGCTGCACGGCGCCGCCAGAGAGCGAAGGACGGCGCGCCGAGCAGCCGGCGCCGCGGATCGTGCAAAAGACGTGGCGGGACGGGGGCGGCAGGGCAGGGGGGAAAGGGATCGCTGGGTGAAAGTGTCGGAAAGTCGCTCGTCGCGTCACTGCAGTCAGTTTAGGCGTAGGGTACCCCAGCCCGGCCCTGCCCGGCCCTGCCCGGCCCTGCCCGGCCCCCGCATCACGGCACAAACACTTGCACCAGCGCTGCGCTGATCGCGCCGGCAGGGCGAAGCGACGAGGAAATTTCAATTAGATCCACTTGATCGTCGCAGGGGTCGTCCACAAACAACTAGGCCCGAGGGTGCGGAGGAGGGGGGGGGGGAGTGCAGGGCACGGCCGCTGGCGACAGCACTCGACTCTTCGGGTGTGGGCCAGGCGCTCGGACCGGCCCACTTGGCTTGGCAATCGCCAGGTATGACCCATCGGCCACGCGTAGTGAAGCCCTTTAGTCTGAGTTGGTTGGTGCCGCATTTCCGTGCTATCCTCGGAGACGCACTGCGACTCGTTTGTTGGTGTCGGGATACCTCCTCTGCGTCAAGCGAAGGACACCGCCCTGCCGGATAGAGACCTGCCGTGGGGCCTGCGGGGCGCAGCCGCAGCGCGCAGCGCGCAGCGCGCAGCCGCCGGTTGGGTCCGGAAGGGTGGGCGGGTCAGGCCAGGGCCCTGGGGGCCGGCCCCCGCCCGGACGTACCGTGTACCGTACCGTGGACGTGCCGCGGCTGCAGCGAAAGCGAGAGGGCGGCGAGCGACGCAGGCCGGCCAGCGGGCGACGACAAAGCGGCGCGTCAACGGCCGGCGCCTAGAGGGGTGGGCGACAGTGAAGCCTGCCTGGCGGTACTCACCCGACGACTCCTCATGAGCGGCGTCCTCCGGCGCCTCCCGTCCAGGAGCTCGTCCGACTTGTTGGAGAGCCCGCTGTCGCTGGCGTCCAGGTTGTCTCCCTCGGGGTTGAGCTGCAGCCGCTGGCGCATGCTGGCCACCGCCCCAGCCTCGGAGCCGGGCGAGGCCCCGAAGGGCGAGCCCGCCGCAGAGTCCAAGAACTCCTCGCTGCCGCTGCGACTCGCGCTGCGACTGTCCGGCGGGATGTGCAGGCCGGGCCGGGCGCGGCCGTGCCGGTTCACCAGAGCTGACACCCTGGACTCGGACGCCGACTTGACGACGCCCAGGGCCCGGAAGGCACGCACCCTCCTGGGCCTACCCTGCCCGTCCTCGTCAAACCGGTCCTGGCGCTCGCTGTCAGCGCCACTGTTGTTCCACAGCGCGATCTTTTGCTTCACATCCACTATGCCCTCCAACAACGGCCGCCCCGCCACCCGCTCGCCCGGCCGGGGGGCACAGCTGTGAGTCTGTGATTCGTCCTCATTCTTAGCGTCCTCGGCGACCTCCTCCGGCGGGGGGTCTTCCCTGTCTGCGCTGCCCTCCAGCGGGGCCTGCTCTATGTCCGCGCTGTCCTCCGTAGGGGCTTCCTCCCTGTCCGTGCTGTCCTCCAGCGGGGGTTCCTCCCTGTCCGTGGAGAGGGCTACATCGCCCTCGCTGTTGTCCTCACTTTCGTCCCTGGATTGCTCGTCGCCCAAATCACACTCGTCGCCGTGCTTCGCAAGGTGCCTCGTGATGTGGCGCTGTGGGGCAGCCACGCAGCCCAGGTTCGACTGGAGCAGGCGTTCACGCAGCGTCCTCAGCTTCTCCTCGTCCCCATCCTGGTCACCATCCTGCTCGCTACAAGGCTGCACGTTCTCGTAGACGGGTGCCTCGTACTCTCGTGGCGGAGCGATGGGCGCCACCATCGCGACAGACGGCTCCTCGATGGGGAACTTGATCTGTTGGGCGAGCTTCTCCAATGAGTCAGAGAGTTTCAAACCCGATGTGCCGATGGAGCTGGAGGAGGTCGTGCAGATAACCTGGGCATATGGGGAGGAGCCGGTGCGATCTCCGGGTTGATCTTCACGCCAATGGCGGCTAGAGACAGACTCATTCCCTAAGGAATGAAAGCTCTGGATGGACTCGTCAGTCTTATCTCCCTCTGAGGACAATGAATATTTACTCTGCCAGGCAACACAATTACTTTGACCCAAACTGTCTGAATTATCCAACTCATCTGATGATGACATAGGATTGTTCCTACCCTCTTTGACAAAACCTGATGATTGCCAAAACAAAGAGTTTGGCATGCGCATCTCCTCCTCTTCATTAGGAGCGATAACAAAGCGTTCACCATCCACCCTGAGATTCACGTAATCACTTTCAACTGGTTCACTACGAGCTATTGCCATTTGAGTGAGCTCAGACACTAATTCTTCGGCTGCCCAAGATCTGCGTTTGTCATTAAGTAACCGCCTTGATTCGTCTTTTTCCTCTTCATTTTCAGGTAACACAATATCTTGATTTTCTACCTCACATGTTCTATTGCTTACAAATTCACTAAATTCACTCTTATCACTGCACTTTTCAGATTCCCTAGCTTCATTTCCAGGAAACTCTTTGAATAGGTTTTTATCTGATATTCTATCTCTAACCGGTGGTAAAGACTTTCTAGTCTCTGATTTGGGAATATTTGCCAAATCATGTTTTTTCTCAGGTTTTTCAATACCAACCTCCTCAACATAAGCAGCAGGTACATAAAATGGCTTCCTTTCATTAGAGCGGAGTACTTGCCACCAGTCAGGATTTGTCTTTTTCAGCAAGCTTAATGCTTCACCTTCCTTCATCCAAACATTTCGCCCATCTTTGGAGTATTCAAAATTGTACAGCACGCGCACAACTTGTTCAGGTCTTTCCATCTCACCGGGAACACTGGTCAATCCCATTCATTATATTTTTAATCCTTATAGATTCTGTAACAAGAACAACATTTATTTATTTAAACTCACATGAAAGACAAAATAAGTGTCTATTTCATTTGGCTGATCATTTGAAGCATTTGTTTTGATTTTTAATTCCATTGTCAACAGTGATATTCAACAGGTGATCTGGCTTGCAACATCTTGAGAATTATTAAAAAGCAACAATCCCAAATTCAGAAATGGAATGAAGCACCCGATCTCCTAGGATACACGATGCCCGACCGACGTAACAATGTTTGGAGGAATGCATTGTTTCAAGCCATTTCAATCACGAACAACTAATTATCGACTACTACAATTTGAAGTCATGCCAGTCCATTTATCTAGCTAACCTTGAAAATATTGAGGCTCTATATTCTAAGATATGTCTGCTAAACAACTAAATGGGGTTTCACTCTTACCTTAAGTGGCGATTAGTCACACAATACACGCAACATGACTGATAAACTCAGCAGAAAAGTTTGGTATTCGTCCGTAACCATTCTCACCTAACCTACGGTGAGCACAGCTGGCTCTGACTGAACAGAGCGAGTGCGATACAAAAGTGGTGTTTGGTTCCCCCCCACGGCACCACCCCCGGCTGCTGGAGTGAACTAGCGCCACCTACCGGAATGTATCGAAGCTTCTAAAAGTGGAGTAGATGAAAGGAAGGACGAATGAGTTCAGCTCAGCTGAGCTAGGGGCAGCGGGAGACGGGCGGGAGAAGAGCACTATTTTTAGTAACAAAAGGCAAAGACAACATTTCTTCTCTGTAGGTGTTGTATTCGCGGCGACGGTAATTTTGACATAAACGTATAGGTAAAAATAAAACATAGGATATGTATTTCTCATCGTATAAGAATCTCGTATAGATTTGGAAAGCCATTGTTTTTGTGGCTTTTCTGAAGAAAGATGTGATGTTTCGGCCAAAAAACATTAAAAGTCATTTTATAACATTTGCCAAAAGTGCAAAATTTTATGAGGAAAAATGTGACGGTTGATAAAAGAACAAATAATTATTACTGTGACTCCCACGTTCCTACCTGGAGTTGGTGGGTCACCTATGACAATTTTCGGTGGCATTTACGTGTTGCTGTACTGTGTTTTTGTTGTTGATGGTGTTACCGTAGGCTTGGATCCGATGGTTATTTAGAAGACATTTATACCCTGCAGTTTTTGAGTCTTTTCCTACAGTGGTTTGTATCCATTTTATTTTTATTTTTTTTCGATCCATTGTTTACGAAGTCTGACCCTGATCATCAAAGCACCGATTTGATTTCATGTCCTGTCAGTTTTATTAAGAAACTTACTGTTTTCTCATTTCAACATATTTACGATTTACCAGTTAGGATTGTATTTGTACAAATCATGATCCTTACATGCCAATGATGTGTTATGAGTTAGTTTGTATCCCGATGTTTTTACATATTTTTTGTCCTATGAGGTTAAACTCTCCATTGTTCAGTCCTAGGCCTTTAGTAATACCAGAATTGCTACCAGTATTTACTATATACATTATGCATCAATGTAGCTAACTCCTTTTATTTCATCAATAGACATTTGATCCAAAGTGGTTATTCATACAGTTGCCCATGAATCGCAAATTCTTTCCAGCGACAATGTCTGCACTGTGATCAAAATTTGAAATTTTGGCCTCGGTAGTTGATGCTAAGATGTCATAAGAATCAAATTCTTTGGCCAGAATTGTACATTTTCACTATGTGAAAGAGTTTGTTGCAGAATTGTGGATTTTGTGTATATAGACACTTATGTATCTTTGTTCAGTGTGTATCTTTGCTCAGTGTGGTTTCAAACGTTATATTCACCAGATTGTTTATTTTACTTTTTTGCAGGTGACATGGCCTTGTCCAATGTCCTGCTTCTGAGCCAAGTTGCAGGCTATGTGATAGCTTTGATTTTATCACTATGTATCACAGTGCCTATGAGCTTCCACCAAGATGAATTTTTGTAAGTTTCAATATTGATTGATCATAATTTAAACAGACACAATTCAAATATATTAATTGCCACTCATATTGAACATACTCATATCACCATTATTAACTTGACCTTTTTTATTCACACTATACATGTACTGAAATATGCGTGGAGACTCACTGCTGAGATTGATCGCATTTGGTGCTTCCCTATTTTTTTCAAAATTGTATTGTTTAATATTTTTGTTTTTCAGAGGCCATTGCCTGCTCTTTTCAACTGGTGATTGGCGCGAATCAGACGGACAATTTGTTGTAAATTGGGCTTCACAAGCTTACTGCAATTACAGTATATTTGTTGGTGTTATATTGTTCCTAGCATCTGCAATTCAAATCTACAGAATGTCAGTTTATTTGTACAAGGGTACAGACAGGTGGGTGCTGAAAAAAGTAAATGGCAGTGTATTAAGTTTGTTTCATCATATAGCATTTATAACTAACTGTTAACATATTTCAGCTCATTCCTATCTGCATTTACTGATGTAGTCGGGAGCCTAGCACTGTGTGCCATGTGCTTTGTAACAGCAGTTCTCATTACTCTTGGATTTACTGTGTGGTGTCAAAATATGACTCTTCGATTCCCTTCGTAAGTATTACCATGCGGTATTATTATAAGTTAAATGAATTTATGGTTGTGTGTAGACCTACCCAATCCAAATTATCTTCCTTTTCTTATGTAGATGTGAGGTTGCGGCTGGGAATCAGTTTGATAAGCAGGATGGTATAAACACATCTGGGTTCTACTTTGAATTGGGAACAGCACAGGTGAGAATGTATTTGATTTCACAAGATAAGTCTTGTGTCTATGTTTAAGCCATACAGATGCATTTTGGATACCATAGTTACAACCGAGCTGACTGGTTTTTGTAGATTTTAAAACATTTTGAACTTAACTTTTCTGTTTCAGTTTGGTGCTTGGGCTTCGTGGACATGTTGGGTTGGTTTGTCTGTTTTTGCTGTGTTGAAACTTGTCAGCCAGCATCAGCTCCGCAATCTACGAGTCAGCATGTTCCGTGAGAGACAGCGACTTATAAATGAGGGCCAGGGACCAGACAAGGAACCAGTTCCAAGTGTATCGGGCACAGCAGTTGCTACCATAGAAACTGGGAACACAAGCTCTCATGTCAAAGCCTCTGACACTGTTGTTCCTGTACATGACTTTGAATAGTTCAGAACAATTCCAGGAGGTCTTATCCACGTACTAAAATTCTTTTGTCAATCATTTATTACATCGATCAGAAGCAGTGTAATTGGTGCTTCTCCAGTTTGGGGAGATGCAGGTCTGTTCCCACTGTGCCCTAGTTAATGATTTTTTTTAACTTTGTTTATATCTCCGATCATTATA